CCAGCTCTGCACCTTGTTGTCTAAGTACCCTGAATGTTGTCACATAACCACAGGTCACAGGCTGCTGTGTAGCTCTTGAGGAACAGGCTGTGTCTGGAGTTTACTCTATTAGTTGAGCTGTAAGTAAACCCACCAGAGATTTTCAAATTGGATTGAGTGGTTTATTTTTGTGAAGTATATTCTATACCTTTCTGTCCTTGAGCATTCCTGTTTATCATTGCTGCCTCATTTGGTGGTTGCATCTATACCTGCCAGGGCTCTAACAGTTGGAATTCTATCCTTAAGCCTCCACCTCTTTACCTCTCTCACTTTCCCTTAACATATTCCTGAAAACTTCGGTCAAAAAAGTAAGAGCTGTGAATTCCAAGGCAGAGTGACACATTGGATCCAAAATTAGCTGAGAGGCAGGAAGCAGAGAGTGATGTGGAGGGATGGTTCAATAGCAGGAATTTTTTTTCCAATGGGATTGTGCAAGGTTGGTGCTGGAGCCTGTTTGTGGTATTCAGTAATGATTGGACATAAATCTTGTAGTATGACCAAGACACTTGTCGATGACACAAAAATTAGTCGGGTAATAGGAGTATAGCAGTAAATTGCAAGAAGATATCAACAGACTGGTGAGCTGGCCAGAGCAGTGCCAAGCAGAATTCAATCTGGAAAAGCATGTGGAAATACACCTTGGGGAGGGCTAGCAAGTCAAAGGATTACAATATAAATGGTAGGACCCTGGAAAGTGCACAAATTCCTCAAGGTAGCAGGGCAGGTTAATAAGGTGCTTAAGAAAGCATATCAGATATGTCACACGGGAGGCTGTTCCTGTGCTCCATGTGTGAGAAGGGCTTCACTCGGTCAGCGTGCTTGCTGCAACACCAGCGAGTTCAGATTGGGGAGAGGCAATTCACTTGTTCTGTTTATGAGAAGGGCTTTACAAATTTGTTCAACCTGCTGAGGCACAAGCAGGTTCATACGACCGAGAGACATTTTAAATGTGCAGACAGTGGGAAGTGCCTTAAGAGTTCCTGGGCCCCATTTCTGAAGAAGGATCTAGACCCGAAATGTCAGCTTTCCTGCTCCTCTGATGCTGCTTGGCCTGCTGTGTTCATCCAGCTCTACACCTTGTTTTGTCAGATATGTGCCTTTTATTAGCCGAGGCACAGAATACAAGTGCAAGAGATTATGCTGGAATTGTATAAAGTGCTGGTTAGATCACAACTGGAATAACTTGCATTGTTCTGCTCGCTACATTATAGGATGGCTGTGATTGCACTAAAGAGTGTGTGAAATTTAACAGGTTGCTGCCTGGGCTGGAGGGTCTGAAGTACGTGGAACGATTCGATAAGTTGGGGTTGTTTTCCTGGGATCAGTGAAGGTTGAGAGGGTACTTGATGGAGGTGTATAAGAATTATGAGGGGCATAGATAGTGTGCATAGGCAGGCACTTTTTCCATTATTATAGGGATCACTAACCAGGTTGTGTAATTTTAAGGTAAGAGGTAGAAGGCTAAGATGAGATTTGAGGGAAAATGTTTTCACCCATCGGGTAGTTGGAGTCTAGACCTCAGTGCCTGAAAGAGGCACCAGAAGAGTCAGAACCTCTTTTAACACTTAAGCCATGTTTAGATATTCTCTTGTGTTGCCATCGCCCTTGGGGCTTTGGGCCAAAAGCTGGAAAATGGGATTAGTGTAATCAGATTTGTTGACAGATCTGAACATAATGGGCTGAATGACTATCTCCTTCATAGTACGTAACAGAGTCTTTGGGTGGCCATATGCAGCAAGACCTAGGTAACATCCAAGTTTGGTGTAGATGTTACTTGCTACTTAAGTGTCAGACTTCATCTTCATCAAAATATATTCTAATCATCACTCCTTGACATTCAATTGTATCATCATCACTGATTTCCCCCATTATTAATGTCCTGGTGATTACTGTTAACCAGAAACTGAATCGGACCAACTATGTAAATACTGTAGCTATAACTACAGATTAGAGGTTGGTAATGTGCACCAAATAACTCACCTCATATCTACCCTTGCCTGTCCACCATCTACAAGATGCACTTCAGGAACTGACCAAGGCTCCTCTGATGGCACCTTCCAAACATAATCACAACCACCTAGAAGGTTAATGGCAGCAGAAGCTTGGGAACACCACCTGCAAGTTCTACTGCAAGCTACACACCATCCTGACTTGGAACTATATCACCATTTCTTCAACTGTTGCTGACCTGAAATCCTGGAACTCCCTTCCTCACAACCTACCTACAGCAGATGGAGTGCAGGAGTTCAAGAAGAAAGCTTATCACCATCTCCAGGGTAGTTAGGAATGAGCAATAAATACTTGCATAGTTGGTGACTTCCACAACCCATGAAAGGATTTTTAAAAATGTAGCCTTCAACCTACATCCACGATACCGAGGCAGACATGTCTCACGATGAAAACTATCCAGTGGTGCGTAGCTACTAAACCATCGGCATATCCTAATTTTTGCTTTTTATTTTTTTACAGGTAGAGCAGGTAAAATTGCTAGATCGGTTTACTTTTAAGAAGCCAGCTGTGGGAACACTCTACTTGACTGCAACACATCTGATTTATGTAGAATCATCAGAGATTCGCAAAGAGACATGGGTACGTAGTGACATTTTTCTTCGCTACTTTTAAATCGCATTTAAAAGCAGAAGTTCTCACTTTACCGAACACACCTGATGGGAATGTTGCAAATTTGAACCCAATGCACCATATAATTTTTGAGCTCCATTGACTTCAATGAAATGTAAACTGAGCCATTGATCTAAACGTGTTGTTTGAAATTTTTGAATTTAGAGTTGAATTTTTGATGATTTTGTGAAAACCTTTATGTTTTAAGATATTTTATGACACTACAGTGGTGACTGAAGTTAGTATTACGAGTCACCAAGGTTTAAAGAAGAAGGGAAGTAATGCTCAGGTGATGCAAAACATGATTATTCAATGCCTGAGATGTAGAAGAATGGAAAAGTCAAGGGAGCAAAGACATCTAACTCATTCTTTTCTCAAAACAGTTAGTAAACTCATGCATTTTGATTTTGTGAGCCAAGAGGTAAGTAAGAAAAAAAAGTAGGATGATATATTTAGGAGCATAGAAGGAACAAGAAAGAAACATTTGAAATTTGCTGGGATAAACCATATTGGACTGTTTTTTTTCAATCCAGGGTTCACATTCATACCTCATTCTAATAACATTTCTCACAACTTACAGCTATCCCCAAGTAGGAGAGCTGTGAATTGACTTTCAGTTCGTGGCGCAATATGTTATAAGATAACAGGCTTTTCTTGTGGCACTTAAATTCTAAACAAGCCAAGGCAAATGGGATGTGTGTGTTTCCTGTAATGACACTTGTGATCCAGTGTCAAATGGATTTGACTAACTTTAGCCCAATTCCTAACTGACATTTCTTCATGGTTTATACTCAATTTCAGATTCAGAATTCTTATTTCTAATCAGAAGCCACCAAATGAAATCAAAGATAGGTATCATTTATTCTTTTCTCCTTCTGGCAGAATGCTATAGTAGTGTGTTTGCCACTAGACAGCAATCATATCAGTTTTCACTTCAAATTTTAATTAATAACTTGATCCAACAAAGAGAATTGGGAATACTGTATGCAGAGAGCTGGTGTTGAAACTGCTGTTCACAAATGGAAAAGTAGTAGAGCATTGTAAGGCCATTGATAAAATTAAATTCTAATTTTTGAAATAATACTTCACAGATTTTACACCATCATATTTCAGCGATAGAGAAGCTGCCCCTTACATCTACAGGATACCCATTGCTGATTCATTGCAAGAACTTCAGAGTTGCTCATTTTGTTATTTGTCGAGAACGTGATTGCCATGATGTTTACAGTTCACTTCTCAGACTGTCACAACCAGGTACCATATCTTAGTGTGTAAATTGTACTTTAACCGTTGTATAGTAATTCTTTCATTGATGTAAGCTTTTGAAGATGCTACTATTGATGTATTCCATGTGGTCTGTACAAAAGTATGTATTTATATAGCGCCTTATCACATCAGAAAAATGTGCACTGCTACTTTGATGTGCTGCTTATGAAGGTAATCATGACAGCTGATTTGTACACAACAATATCCCAAGTAGGAAAGCAGTAAATTAACTTGCAGGTCGTGGTGCAATATGTTATAAGACGATAGGCTTTATTTTTCAAACTTAAATTCAAAACAAACTGAGGCAAATGGGATGGGAGTGTTTCCTGTCCTAGTCTAATGATCCAGCATCAAATGGACTTGGTCATTTACATTATCAATAGTTTAACAATGTTGAACTCTCATTCATAGTGGGTGGAGAGAAAAAAAAGGAAAAAAATTACATTGATGCTTTTAAGGCTGACAGATATTGTTGGGCCCTGTCTGATGCTAAAATTGGGTGAGAAATGAAAAAAGTGGGAGACTGCCACATCAACAAAAATGATTTGTCTTTGTGTTGTACTCTTAATGTTGAAAAATGTTCCAAGGAGCCTTACAGAAATATAAGCAAGCAAATCTGATGCTGAAGTAAGAGAGAAGATGTACTAAGGGAGTGAGTAAAAACTTGGGCAAAAAGCTGTAGGAATTTCCTGAACTTACAGCTTAGATGGCTAATGGTACAGCTAACACTGTTGAAATGAAGGGAGTGGAAGATGTATAATTGCCAGAGTTAGAGAAGTGCAGAATTCTTGGTAGGGCTGCAGAACATTATAAATAAGAAAGTTTAAGATTCTGAAAAAACTGGAATCTGAATCTGAAATTAAAGCATTGCAGACAGGACTAGTGTGGGAACTAATGAAGGTCAGTGAAAATTTGCTGATGGTTGAGCAGGATTTAGTGTGGAACCAACACCCGTGGCAATATTTTGGATGAACTGAAGTTTATATTGGACTTGGAGCTGGCCAGGAGAGAATCGGAATAGTTCAGTCTGTGGTGAGAGGCGTGGAGAAGGGTTTTGGCAAGAGATTAGCTAACGCAAGAAGGAGAAAGAGTGATGTTACAGAGTAGAATGTTAGGTACTCTTTGTGATAGGAGACAAGCAGCTCAGAGGTCTAGCAGATTAATTGCTGTTTAAAAAAGTTTTTTCACATCTTGCATTTGCTTTTTTTTAGTTCTTGATCTGTTCACAAATGGGAACAGTTTCTCCTTATCTACTTTGTCTAGATCCCTCATTTTGAAAAACTCTGTCAAATCTCTGCTTTGCCGCCTCCATTCCAAGGAAACCTGTTTCAATTCTGAATAAATATGTGGCATAGAAAGCATTCACTTGAATTATTCTATTCTGTTAAGAATTCCTGGGTTGTACAGAAGCCCATGCGAAAGATCCAGGAATTGGTGAATTGACTTACGCAAACAAAAGCTGATTTTCAGGGACATTAACCTGTTAATAAATATTCAGAAGATATAAGTAGACCTCTTTGCTAAAACACCTTCTGCATAACTAGATGGATAGGCTAGTCACTTGGCTGGAATTCTCTTCCCAATAATCAACTGTAAAATCCAAAAGGATATTTGGTCCTTGTGTAATCACAGAAGCAAGTGAATCAGTGACCTTCTTTGATAACCTTCTTGACTTTAACTGATTAAGCTTCAGAATGACAACGCACACATCTGGGTTCCAAAAATTTTGATCGGCTGACCTGCACTAAGAAGCTCATATGTATCAGTGAAGTGTGTTCCCAAGGGAAAGAATATGCATTACATATTGGAGACAGGAACCCCACAGCTGGATGTAGATTGCTCAGTGGCTGAAATTGGAGACATTCAACAGAGTCATAAGTTTCCACATACGTAGGAAACTTGGCAGATCAAAAACAGTGGAAGATATAGAATGGTACTTAACACTTTTAGTAATGGCGTACATGTGAACTTCTTAATTGCTAATTGTTGAAAACATTCCTCTAATACAGCAAGCGTTTAACTACTATTAAATTTTTTGAAAATATTATGTGTATTTCAGTGGTGTTTGAAGAACTTTATGCTTTCTCATACAACCCTAAGCAGACTGAAATGAGCAGAGGAATGGGTTGGAAAATAATAGACATAAAAGAAGATTTCCAGCGTATGGGAGTACCAAACGAATACTGGGAGCAGACTGATGTAAATGAAAACTATGAGGTGAGCAATAATGATTTTGATTTTTGATCGTTGTGCGTTTTCTGTTTAGTGGCACGATAGTTATCAGATATTAGCTATGAGCATCTCAACAATTCTTAGTCTAGCTTAAACAACCACTGCCTAGATTGGTCGCAAGAGTCATAGAAATGTACAGCATGGAAATAGACTCTTTGATCCAACTCTTCCATGCGACCAGATATCCTAAATTAACTTAGTCTCATTTGTCAGCATGTGGTCCATATCCTTCTATTTATCACACCAGAAAATGCTAGAATTTGAGTCTAGTCCTGCTCTAATGATTTAATTGGTCTCAGCCAGAGCAGCAGATCGAGTTTTATGGTTGTTCTCCCTCTCTAGACAAGGCAGAGATATAAAAAATACATTAGTTACAGTTCCCACCTTCTGATTCACAATCTATTGAATCCCGATCAAAAGTGAGTGAGGTAGCATCAGACGAGAATTAGATTGTGCCTTTTAACGTGCTGCCTGGTTTTGTACATGAAGAATGAGGAAAGATTGGTCCTGTTTCCACTGGAGTTCAGAAGAATGAGAGCTGATTTTTGAAACATAAGATTCTGAGGTTACTTTGCAGCGTGGATGCTGAAAAGATGTTTTCCCTTAATGGGAATCGAGAACTGGGAGCACAATTTAAAAATTAGTGGTTGCCCATTTAAGTCAGAAATGAGAAATAGTTCTCTCAGAGAAGCGTAAGTCTGCAGAATTCTGTTCCTCAGAGCAGTGGAAGTAGAACCATTGAATTTTTTAAGGCAGATGTAGACATATTCTTGACTGACAAGGAAGCCAAAGGGTACAAGGGGGAGATAGGAAAGTAAAGGCCATGATCAGATCAGTCAAGATCTTATCCAATGTTGAAGCAGATCTAAGTACCCAACAGGTCATTCATGCTGCTAATTTTCTGTTCTCCTGTTCTTAAGTTCCAATTACATATAATTGGAAAAATCAGAATGTTTCTTGCCTAAATTCATAAAGCAGGAAGATTAAGCATCCTTGAAATGAGAGTGGCATAATCGAGACTCTTGCTTGATCATGCTTATGTTCAGCCCAGTCAACTGGAAATCTAAACACAAAAGGTAATCATGTTTTCCACCCACTCAATTCTCTATTATTTTAATTGAGGAATTTGAGTTACAGCACCTTTGCAAAAATAAGTTTTGTATTTTCCGGCTTGATTTTTGATGCCTAGTACCTGGTTTGCAGGAACTGAATCAATACACCCTATAGTTCTTTTCTTTTTGAGGGATTTCTAAATTGCAACTTGTTTATAACTCTTCTACTGGTCCTACTTGGCACTCACTAAAGTTAACATAAGAAAATCTTCACTGATAGTCTGTCTGACCTCAACACTCCTTTTTCTATCTCATCTTGCCAGTGTACTGCCTTTTACAGGGTGGAAACAGATTCACTAATTTACAAATGCAATAAAAGTTGAAATAGAAAAAAAAAACTACAGATCTGGGGGAACAAAAGGTGTGAGTCTGACTAATTGTGTGGTCAGTTTAAAGAGCAGGCAGAAGAGGACAAATGGCATCTGTTATGATCTGAGCTGAATCCAAATCTAAATCCCACCTGGACAAGTCAGATCCCAGACTGAATTCTGACTTGTGATTATATTTTGTTTAATTTTTTGATTTATATTTAACCAGGTGATATTTCACTGAAACACTTCTGCAATGCTGCAGATTTAGCTATAACAATAAAACAGAAATTCATTTTGCAAAAAAAAACAGGGTACTTATATATAAAAGAAATGGAAAGATTTCAAAACACACAGTAAAAATACAATCCTGTCTAAGCCAACTCCATCATGTTGCAATGCTCAAACACCACGGACAGTTTGCTTTTCTGTCACCTCTCTAGATTTACCTTAACTATTTCTTTTAATTCCCAGTCTTAAGTGTCTGATAGCCTCTTCCTTGATTAGGCTCACAACTGAGTTTAAACTTTCTCAGGTTTCAATAACCCCTGTAGAGTTCTAACCAAGCACTTCTGGGTTGAAGCTTTCAAATTAAAACCCTTACGGTGAGGTAGCTTGTTTCCTAACTTTCTGAACTTACTCCTTTCGCTTGGAGAAACCATTTCATACATCTAAATTCTTCAACCAAGATTTCTGTGAACTGAAATCAAAGGCTTTCCATGCTGACTTTTCCCACTTAAGTTCTCCTTAATGTTTACTTAGTCCATTTGCAAAACTCTTCCAATCAATGTTTCCTCTAAGTTGTGTGTTTGGACACTCTGACATTTGTATTTGGCTATGGACATGCTGACCCAGATTGCAGCATTGACTTGCACTTCCAAAAGTCATTGCTACATGTGGATTTTGGAGGTATGTGCAGAAGAAGAAGACATTAGACGCAATGCTGAGCCCAATGCAAACAAATTCCCATTATCAGTTGGGGGTAACTCTCTTAAACTGATTTTAAAATCATGGGTCCAGAAATTCTGACATATTAATCGTTAAATCGCCTCATACCGACCAAAACCCACATGCCGCTCATTAACTGACAGAATGATTTATTGTCATATCTTGGGAGATACAGTGAAAACTGTTCTGTTGCCACAAGTTGGCACCATTTTGAGGTACAAAAGAATAAAAAGAAAGTACTTAGAGTTCATCTTCATTGGTCGGGGTCGCAAACATGGCTCCAGAACTTCTGCAAGGACTCCACTCTGGGCACTGACACCGCCATAGTCGATGAACCGCTGCTGCCGTAAGAGTCCACTCATCAGGCCTACAGGCCAGGAGTCATTGTCAACACCGCTCCAGCCAAATTGAGTCCAGTGAAACATTCACAAAGGACAAAAAGATTCCAACTCTAAAATAAATGATAATATATATATAACATATATTTGAATCACACACCCACATGTTGCATCACTTCCTTCTGCACTGTATAATTCACTGTATTTAATACCTTGTTAAATGGCTTGGTGTCATATTTTGCTTGATAATGCTTTTCAAAAGTACCTTGAAGTTTTACTATGGTTAAGGCACTATATAAATATTAAGTTGGTCTTAAGATAGTATCCTGATGAGTTGAACTTAAATGTAAGAGCATTATAATTTTCTTCCTCAGTTTTGTACTTTGGCAGCAAAATGAGACTTTCTTTGGAACTGTTAATTAATTTTCTAAAAACTGAGCAAACCCTTTATGTATATGTCAGATTCTACCATGCAATCGTTTTGGTTCCTTCTAGACTTGCAGTACGTATTCAACATTTCTCTATGTGCCAAAAGGAGCAAACAAGCCAATAATAGTGGGCAGTTCAAAGTTCAGAAGTAGAGGGCGATTTCCTGTTCTTTCATATTTTTTCAAGGAGAATAACGTAAGTATTTACCTATTCCTAATTTTGTGCTGAGGTTTGAATAGGACTTTAAAGCAATGCACCCATTTTCCCGCTCGGGTGAATTTAAAATATCCCTGGTACTATTTGAAGATAAGCAGGATAGTTATCCACAGAAGCCTTGTCAGTACATTTATTCCCCAATCAACCTCACAAAAGATTATCTGCTCGTTACTATATGGCTGTTTGTGCGAGCTTGCTTTGCGCAAATTAACTGCTATTTTCCTACTTTACTACAATGGCTACATTTTACAAATGCTTCACCCATTGTAGAGTACCTTGAGATGTCTAACAGCAATTGTCTAATTGTTTTTGTATTGATTCATAGGAGTTGGGCTTTGCTGTCAAATCCAGCTTTTATTGCCTATTTCTACCTTCCCTTGAGAAGGTGACTCCATTATAATGCGGTTCAGTATACCACAAATGAACTTGTAGCTCAAGAGGCTCATGGCTGTCATATGAGGTGAATATTCAATTTGCTAGTTAAAATTAGGAATTTTCTTATTAACGCGCAGTAGTTAATTTTACTTACACAATTCCAACACCTATGGTGTAGTGGATTCTGCTGTAAATTTTTGCGAGAGTGGTCCCAGTAGCATGTGACTTTAGCCTTCCTACCAAAATATAGTACTTCAGACTTACTGAAGTTCAATCATGAATTAAACATCCCATCTGTAATTTTTATTAATGTCTTTGTATATTTTGTCCCAGTCCTCTGTTATTCACAAATTTTGAACGTGTTCTTCTGTTCCCAAGACCATGTACTTTAAAAAAGCTGTACAACAATGATCCCAGCACAAGTTCTTGTGGAAAATCAGTCAATCTGAGTGAAAACATTTTCACTCACTCCTACTTTTTCTGTTCTGTTTTGTCAGCTTGCATCCGTGCTTCTACTTGTTCGGACTCCACAGATTCTGCCCTTAGTTCTGAGTCTGCAACTTTTCTAGCTAAACTGTATAAACAACAAGAGCTAGTAAGTTTGGAAAATCCCTTGTATGATCTACCCAGTTTCAAAACTAGTTGCCTATACCATGCCCAGAACAATCAAGGAAACTCCGCTCAACTAAAGCCAGTCCCATAAGATGCAGTTCAGCAAGGTACCAACGTAGGCCTATTCCTTTCATTGTTCATGTCCTGAATGAAGAACTTAAATGATGAAATGTATATGTGCTTCAATCCCTGTAGTGTGGAAATGGTGTATTCATTTGTAATTTTAATATAATTTAAATTTGATTTCATTATTTTAACCTCCAGATTAACATTTCCCTGTTGGCTGTTGAATTTGTCTATTCTTGTCATCAGAAGATTGATACATGAAATCATCTTACTCCCGTATTTGTTACATTTTTACATGTTTACTTGTGGTGCAATGCTAATATCACAAACTCTGAGTCAGAAGCCCTGGGTTCATGTTCCACCTACTCCAGGTGTGTGCTGTAACACGTCTGAACAGGTTAATTCAAAATATCTACAATGGCCATTTGACCTGTTACATTTGTGTTCTTTCTGGAAAAACAAATTAACTAATCCCATTCTTGGTTTTCCTGGTAACCGAACAAAGAACAAAGAGCAAAGAAAATTACAGCACAGGAACAGGCCCTTAGGCCCTTCGGCCCTCCAAGCCTGCGCCAATCCAGATCCTCTATCTAAACCTGTCGCCTATTTTCCAAGGATCTGTATCCCTCTGCTCCCTGCCCATTCATGTATCTGTCTAGATACATCTTAAATGACGCTATTGTGCCCGCCTCTACCACCTCTGCTGGCAACATGTTCCAAGCAACCACCACCCTCTGCTAAAGAACTTTCCATGCATATCTCCCTTAAACTTTTCCCCTAACACCTTGAAATCGTGACCCCTAGTAATTGAGTCCCCCACTCTGGGGGAAAAAGCTTCTTGCTATCCACCCTGTCTATACCTCTCATGATTTTGTAGACCTCAGTCAGATCCCCCCTCAACCTCTGTCTTTTTAATGTAAATAATCCTAATCTACTCAACCTCTCTTCATAGCTAACGCCCTCCATACCAGACAACATCCTGGAGAACCTCCTCTGCACCCTCTCCAAAGCATCCACATCCTTTTGGTAATGTGGTGACCAGAACTGTACGCAGTATTCCAAATGTGGTTGAACCAAAGTCCTATACAACTGTAACATAACCTGCCAACTCTTGTACTCAATACCCCGTCCGATGAATGAAAGCATGCTGTATGCCTTCTTGACCACTCTATCCACCTGCGTTGCCACCTTCAGGGTACAATGGACCTGAACACCCAGATCTCTCTGTGCATCAGTTTTCCCCAGGGCTTTTCCATTTACCGTTTAGTTCGCTCTTGATTTGGATCTTCCAAAATGCATCACCTTGCATTTGCCTGGATTGAACTCCATCTGACATTTCTCCGCCCAACTCTCCAATCTATCTATGTTCTGCTTCATTCTCCGACAGTCCCCTCCACTATCTGCTACCAATCTTATTGTCATCTGCAAACTTGCTAATCAGACCATCTACACCTTCCTCCAGATCATTTATGTATATCACAAACAACAGTGGTCCCAACACGGATCCCTGTGGAACACCACTGGTCACAGTTCTCCATTTTGAGAAACTCCCTTCCACTACAACTCTCTGTCTGCTGTTGCCCAGCCAGTTCTCTATCCATCTCGCTAGTACACCCTGGACCCCATGCGACTTCACTTTCTCCATCAGCCTACCATGGGGAACCTTATCAAACGCCTTACTGAAGTCCATGTATATGACATCCACAGCCCTTCCCTCATCTATCAACTTTGAGGAAGTGACAAAGAATTCTATCAAGTTGGTAAGACATGACCTTCCCTGCACAAAACCATGCTGCTTTTCACTAATAAACCCATTTTCTCCCAAATGTAAATAGATCCTATCCCTCAGTATCTTCTCCAGCAGCTTCCCCACCACTGACGTCGGGCTCACCGGTCTATAATTTCCTGGATTATTCTTGCTACCCTTTTTAAACAAGGGGACAACATTAGCAATTCTCCAGTCCTCCGAGACCTCACCCGTGCTCAAGGATGCTGCAAAGATATCTGTTAAGGCCCCAGCTATTTCTTCTCTGGCTTCCCTCAGTAACCTGGGATAGATCCCATCCGGACCTGGGGACTTGTCCACCCTAATGCCTTTTAGAATACCCAACACTCTTTCCCCCCCCCCACCCCACCCCCACCAATGCCGACTTGACCTAGAGTAATCAAACATCTATCCCTAACCTCAACATCCATCATGTCCCTCTCCTCAGTGAATACTGATGCAAAGTCCTCATTAAGAATCTCACTCATTTTCTCTGACTTCTCACATAACTTCCCTCCTTTGTCCTTGAGTGGGCCAACCCTTTCTCTAGTTACCCTCTTGCTCCTTATGTACAAATAAAAGGCTTTGGGATTTTCCTTAACCCTGTTTGCTAAAGATATTTCATGACTCCTTTTAGCCCTTTTAATTCCTCATTTCAGATTGATCCTACTTACCCATTGCTTCATCTGTTTTCAGTCGCCTAGCCCATATGTATGCTTCCTTTTTCCTCTTTGCTCATCTCACAATTTCACCTGTCATCCATGGTTCCCTAATCTTGCCCTTTCTATTCCTCATTTTCGCAGGGACATGTTTGTACTGCAGTCTAAGCAACCTCTCTTTAAAAGCCTCCCACATATCAAATATGGATTTACCCTCAAACAGCTGCTCCCAATCCACACTCCCCATTCCTGCTGAATTTTGCTATAGTTGGCGTTCCCCCAATTTAGCACTCTTCCTTTTTGACCATTCTTGTCTTTGTCCATCAGTATTCTAAAACTTATGGAATTGTGATCACTATTCCCAAATAATCCCCTACTGAAACTTCAACTACCTGGCCGGGCTCATTCCCCAACACCAAGTCCAGTATGGCCCTTCCCTGAGTTGGACTATTTACATACTGCTCTAGAAAACCCTCCTGGATGCTCCTTACAAATTCTGCTCCATCTAAACCCCTAACACTAAGTGAATCCCAGCCAATGTTGGGAAAATTAAAATCTCTCATCACCACCACCCTGTTGCTCTTACATCTTTCCATAATCTGTCTACATATTTGTACCTCTATCTCACGTTCACTGTTGGGAGGCCTGTAGTACAGCCCCAACATTGTTACTGCACCCTTCCTATTTCTGAGCTCTGCCCATATTGCCTCACTGCTCAAGTCCTCCATAGTGTCCTCCTTCAGCACAGCTGTGGTATCCTCTTTGACCACTAATGCAACTCCTCCATCCCTTTTATCTCCCTCTCTATCCCGCCTGAAGCATCTATATCCTGGGATATTTAGTTGCCAATCTTGCCCTTCCCTCAACCAAGTCTCAGTAATAGCAATAACATCATACTTCCAGGTACTAATCCAAGCCCTAAGTTCATCTGCCTTACCTACTACACTTGTTGCATTAAAACAAATGCACCTCAGACCACCTGTCCCTTTGCGTTCGTCATCTGCTCTCTGCCTACTCTTCCCCTTAGTCACACTGACTTCATTATCTAGTTCCTTACTGCCCACTAATCTCCTCATTTGGTTGCCATCCCCCTGCCACATTAGTTTAAAGCTGCCCCAACAGCGTTAGCAAAAGCACCCCCTAGGACATTGGTTCCAGTCCTGCCCAGGTGTAGACCATCCGATTTGTAATAGTCCCACCTCCCCCAGAACCGGTCCCAATGTTCCAAAAATCTGAACCCCCCCCACCCCCGCACCATCTCTCAAGCCACTCATTTATCCTGCCTATTCTTTCATTTCTACTCTGACTAGCATGTGGCACTGGTAGCAATCCTGAGATTACTACCTCTGAGGTCCTACTTTTTAACTTGGCTCCTAACTCCCTAAATTCTGCTTGTAGGACCTCATCCCGTTTTTTTACTTATCATCGGTGCCTATATGCACCACGACAGCTGGCTGTTCACCCTCCCCCTTCAGAATGTCCTACAGTCGATCTGAGACTTC